AACACTTCTGAGAAGGCTACCTTGGAGGTCCTGGCCTTGAGTCTCCTGTCTTGAGTTTCCTTCAGGACTACACAACTACATTTCCCCACATTGTTGGTGCCAACATGTATCACAACCACTGGCTCTTCTCCAGCACTGTCTACCAGCCTATCTAGACCACACGTAATGTCCGCTACCTTCGCACCAGGAAAGCAAGTCAACATGTAGTCAGGACGTGGGTTCGCAATCCATCTATCTACATGTCTATGGATCTAACAACCAACTACCAACAGCCCCCCTCCTTCGTGCCCAGAGATGGTTCCTTGGTTTGAAACGATACCTGTTCACCAACTGTAGAAGGGGTCCCTTCTGAGGGAACTGCTTTACACAAAGAGTGATTAAAGTGTGGAATTTGCTGCCAGATGAGGTAGTGATGGCCACAGGAATAAACAACTTTAAAAGGGGATTAGAGAGATTCGTGGAGGATAGGTCCATCAGCGGCTACTAGTCTGGTGACTGAGGGGAACCTCCATGTTCAGAGGCACTAAACCTCTGAATCCCAGAGCCAGGAGGCAACATCAGGGGAAGATCTCAGCCTCTATGCCCTGTTGTTGTCCCTCCTAAGGAACTGGCTGGCCACTGCGTGAGACAGGATGCTGGACTAGACGGGCCACTGCTCTGATCCAGCAGGGCTCTTCTTGTGTTCTTATGCTGTACATAGTTTCAAATATCCTTACTGAACAATTTTATTCCAGAAGTTACTGTTTCCTTCCAAGGGTTACCTCAAACCTTACCTGGAATTATTGCTTTCAGAAGCCACTTAGGGCCTGTCTGTCAGATGGAGGTTGGGGTAGAGACCTCATGGGTCAAACGACACACTACGCTACTTCATTTTAAACAGTTTTTAAAACTCCATTCTTCACACCCAATCTGTCTTGTTGAAGGGGCAATTAGGCATGGAACAGTGTGGGCCAAGGCTCCATAAAACACTGAAGTGTCATTCCAAAAGGCAGGGCTCTTCTTGTGTTCTTATGCTGTACATAGTTTCAAATATCCTTACTGAACAATTTTATTCCAGAAGTTACTGTTTCCTTCCAAGGGTTACCTCAAACCTTACCTGGAATTATTGCTTTCAGAAGCCACTTAGGGCCTGTCTGTCAGATGGAGGTTGGGGTAGAGACCTCATGGGTCAAACGACACACTACGCTACTTCGTTTTAAACAGTTTTTAAAACTCCGTTCTTCACACCCAATCGGTCTTGTTGAAGGGGCAATTAGGCACGGAACAGTGTGGGCCAAGGCTCCATGAAACACTGACGTGTCATTCCAAAAGGGCTGAGTAGAAAGGGCGGTTTCCTCCTCTCCAGCAGGACACTTGTGTGTGGTTGTCCAAGCCACCAGCCCCTCCCCACCCACACTGGCAACTCTTTGCAGTGGTGCTAACTGACAGTCATTGTGATGTGGTGCTTAGAGGGTATGAGAAGGATCAGAGAGAGGCACATGAGCTCCCATATGAGATCAGGCCCCTGCAAGACCTTTTACAGTTCTGCAGGGGCTGCAAGATGGAGTTCTTCTGCCAGGCTTTTAGTTGAGTTGATGGGTGTCCCCCCTCTATTGGGCCTGAAACAGACCTCATCTGTTGAGGCTTTTGATTAGAAACATACCCTGTTTTCCCGAAAGTAAGACATCCCCCGAAAATAAGACCTACTTACAGTTTTGCCTCTCGCTGAAATATAAGACATCCCCCAAAAATAAGACCTCCCCAATAATAAGGCCTCCCCCGAACATAAGGCCTCCCCGATAATAAGCCCCCCCGAAGCTACTGTAACTCTGGACTTTGGGCCGTAGCGGCAGGCGCTGCCGCGCAGCTAACTGTTGGCCGCCGTGCAGCCGGAACAGACAGGAAGTGCGAGGTCTCTTTTAATCAGAGAGCCCGCGCTGCCACCAGGACAAGCTGCCGCCTGCTGCTCGCTCTGCCCTGACCGAGTGTACCGTATTCTTCTTCATGGAAAAATAAGACATCCCCCGAAAATAAGACCTAGTGCATCTTTGGGAGCAAAAATTAATATAAGACACTGTCTTATTTTCGGGGAAACAGGGTAGGGATATTACTGTATTTTATCTGATGTATTTTAATTGTTGTATATTATATTTGATGGAACCCGCCCTGAGCCTGCTATGCGGGAGAGGGCAGGATAGAAATCTAATAAATAAATAAATAAGGTTCAAAGTCCCCCCCCTCCCCCCAAAATCATGAAGCTCACTGGGTGACCTTAGAGTGATCTCTCAGCCTAACCGCACAATCCCATAAATTACTTCAGTCTAAGATCACTGGAATCAATAAGCTTAGACTGGAACACCTCTGCATAGGACTGCCCAGCCAACTACCTCACAGGGTGGTTGTGAGGGTAAAATGGGTGGGTTGGAGAACGAGGGATGCCATCCTGAGCTCATGGTATGAAGGACAGGATTTCTTCTTCTTTTTAAGCACAGATGGAAAATAGTATGGGGAAAATGCTGCCAAAGTATTAACGCTACTTCAGCTTGATGTCAGCGTTGGACACGATGCTTTACTTTACTGACTTAATTGTTCCTATCAATGTAAACAAGATAGAACAAGTGAGAGATCAGTAGCAGGCACTCTTCTTATTTTGTCTTTCCTGTCAAACCTTCCTAACAATCTGTATTAAGGAACATCTCTCTGTGTGCATCATCTGCTTATTGATTGATAGTTGTAAGTGATATGAAGAACTGTGAGAACAGAACAGAAATTAATCGTGCTTATGAGGCCTACATCAAAATATGTACTTTTCCCACTTCTGCTGCAGACCAGAACACAAAGCAGAAATATCTCTGAGAATAAGAAGCAGAAACGTATCTGTTCTTGTCAGGAATTCTCCCGCAATTCCCCCTTCTTACCTAACCTCTCACCAGGAGCAGAGTTTTAAAAGGAAAGACCTCAAGCTTACCAAACTTTGAAACCTCAACCTAGATTCTGAAACCTCAGCCCAGAAGTATGAAAGGGCTGGTTGTATTTACTGGATGATAAGCAAAATGTACTCTGAACAATGAACCCCCAGAGAAAATCCTGTATTTGTCATTGTTCCACAATTTGTAGGGTACTGGGGCTGAAGTGAGCTCCAGCTGAAATAAATCCCTATCCCACACATTCTTACCTCAAGGGATATGGGAGAGCTACTTTATCATGCTAGAGGAGCAGTCAAAAATTCAGGGAAACTCTGAGACTAGCCTAAGAAGCGTTGTAAAGTCCTAGGAGGGAGGACTCCTGTTCACCATTTAAGAAGGAATGATTCAGTGAGGAAAGACCTCCCTGAGAACCAATTAGTGCTGCAGGCAGGGTGTATATATCCTCTCTAACTGTTGAAAAAAATGTTCCTGTTTAGGTTACCTATGATCAGAGGTCATTTCGGAAGCCCCCCCGCTTCCGGCCGCCCCGCTTCTGGCCCTCATTCAGCCAGGAGGAGGCAGAAGAAGAGGGAGGGTAAGTTGCTTCCTCCCTGCCTCTCCCCACCCCTGCCTGCCTGGGGCCAGGGAGGGCCTTCGCGGGGCTTCCTTGCACTCCCGCCGGCCTTGCAGGTCCACCGCTGGGCCCCTCATGGGGCTCGGCAGTGGAGCTGCAAGGCCAG